GCTCACAGGATCACGCTGTCTCCTGTCACGGCCGCTCCAGACCCGTCGCCATCTTAGAATCTGAAAATGCTTTTTAAAATTATTTTATTAGTGCAAATTAGAAAATGAAAGAGAAAGTGAGAGGGAGGGGGAAAAAGTATGGTGGATTTGAAAATGAAATGCATATTATACCATGGTTTTATTTTTCTCTTTAGATCTTTTAGAGAAATCTCGGGTTGTTAAGCAGCCAAGAGGTGAAAGAAACTTCCATGTGTTCTATCAACTGCTCTCTGGTGCCTCCGAAGAGCTCCTCAGTAAGTCCCTGTTTCTGAGTTTTAATTTGTAGTGTCACGGCATTTTTTGAAGCATTCTCTTTAAAATGTGTCCCCTCTGCTTTTCCTCTTCCTTCTTAAAATTTTCCCGTGACTCTGGTTGAAGTGAAGAACATGTTTGCTTCTCCCCCACCCCAGCATTTGTGTAATATCCCCAAACCTCAGCAGATACTGTGCCATATGTCTCAGATGGGTTAAAAGAGCTCGATATTATGGGAGGGACTAATCATCAATTTAAAGAAATAAAACGGAGGGATATAATTATTCCACTTGGGGAGAGAAAATTAGTAAGGAGCAGGAAATAAATACAGTTGTATAAAAACAAATTGTTCAGTGAAGATTTAAAAATAGTGCGGAAGATATTTATAGTTGAATCAGGAGATAAAAATCTGACCTTTGGATATTTTAGAGAAGTAACATAACTCTACAAGGATAGTATCCAATAGACAATAGCCAAGTGATGGAAAGTATTGGACACAAATAGTTCAAACAAGAAGAGCTGTGGAAAGTCAACAACACTTAGGGGAAAAATTGTCCTCAGTAATAGTCAGCAAATACAAATTAAAACCTCACTGAAGTATCCACTATGCATATATTAGCCAAAGTTATTAAAAAGGATAAAGCTGGCAGAGTTGTCACTGATCTACTTAGAGCTTGTGGGTGTCACTTGAAAGTGAGGACCTCTTCTTGGGGGACTAATTGGCAATTTAAAATAAGAGTCACAAAATGATCAGAGCCTACCACCCAGTTACATCACTTTTTGGAATATATCCCAACAAAATAATTCAAATGAATCCAAAAAGCAATTTGTATGAATACATTTATCACTGCCCTTTATTTATGATTATAAATTAGAGAGAACCCAAAT